AAAAAAAAAACAATCTAATCACCCTTTCACAATAACTTTTTTTCACACATAATAACATTGGCAGAACCCTGGCAAATCATCAACCCATTTCAAAGTTTCAATACATCAACCCTCGAAAATTTGTAGAATCAAAACATAATACGGTATGTGAATCCCCATTGTTAGCCGTTAGGAGTCTGGCTGTGTTCTGGTCATAATGAGTGCGATATAGATTCATATCCCATAATAACTGTGGTTTCAATTTAACACCATTGGCAAGCCAAAAACCAATTTCACTTTTAGTGCATGAATTTCTCAAAAAACATCTAGGTGGCACCCTTAAAAGGGTTTTACCATCGGGAATGCTCTAAGCTGGTCATTCACTTCTAAAAGGGTTGTAATTCAATTTATCTCCAATCCAATGTGCACCATCAAAACATTTCATTCATTCTCAAAAATAGCAAAAGCATACCAAGCTAGTTTCACTAACACCAAACATCATTCCAATTTCCAAACAAACAAGGCTAACATTTTGTGGCTACACTTGGATCATACATTACATTTTGTTGAGATTCACTCAGATTGTCACTATCTATAGTTCTATACCAATAAACGACCACATAATTAAGATCCATGGATACAAGTCATACAACAATGAACACACATGAGAACAAAAAAGTGGAACAATAAAAAAATGTACTTGAGCTTACTAGACCAGCTTCAGAGATTGCATTATGAAATGTAACCTCAGCAAATCTGAAGAGCAGAAAAATTGATCTATGAGCAGAATAACGCCATTCATGCCATTATGGCAAGGAGGCTGCCTGAATGTCTACTCAATAAGTACGGTTCGAACTAAAAGCACAATAAAAAATTGTAAAAAAAAACAAGTTCAACAGTTGTAAAATGTACTTGAGCTTACTAGACCAACTTCAGAGATAGGATTTTAATATCCAACTCAGCAAGTCTGAAGAGCAGAAAATGTGATCTATGAGCAGAATAACGCCACTCATGCCATTTTATCGTCGCAAGGAGGCTGCCTGAATGTCTACTCAATATTTACTACGGTATAAACAAAAAGCACTATAACTTCGTAAAAAAGCATTCAACAAACATAAAATGTGCTTGAGCTTACTAGACCAGCTTCAGAGATAGGATTATGATACCCAACCTCAGCAAATCTGAAGAGCAGAAAATTCAATCTATGAGCAGAATAACACCACCCTTGCCATTATATCATTCGCAAGGAGGCTGCCTGAATGTCTACTCAATATTTATGCTATAAACTAAATGATCGATAATCAAGTTAAAAAGAAGTGCCCAATTTATAATGTGCTTGAGCTTACTAGACCAGCTTCAGAGATTGGATTTTGGTACCCAACCTCAGTAAATCTGCTGAGCAGGAAAAAATAACAAGCAGATTAAAACCACCGATGTGAATTTATCTTTCACAAAGAGGCTGCCTGAATGTCCCAGACTCCCAGTCCTCAGCATATACTCAGTATATTGCAAATAATTAAAAACACTACCATAAAGTTGGGGAAAAACTAGAGCAACTATTTAAAGTTTAAAATGTGCTTGAGCTTACTAGACCAGCTTCAAAGATTAGATTATAACACCTAATCTAGGCAAGTCTGAAGAGCAAAAAAATTGATCTATGAGAAGAATAACACCACGCAAGCCATTTAATCATTGGCAAGGAGGTTGCCTGAATGTCTACTCAATTATCTTTCCTAAACCTTCAAAGTACTATCATGGAAAATTTTGTATCCTACGAGTTACATTATAAAGCTACAAATAATATCAGTTTGAAACCTTGAAGAAAGCTTTTGAACAACCACCTTTAAAAAATGATTGACCTTACAAGACCAGCATCTAAGATTCAACAATAAAAATGTCAGCAAAATGTAAAGAGAAGAAAAAACTATATCCAAACAGAATAACAGCAGGATTACTTGTACCCCACTTGCAAGGAGAGAGCCGGAGAACCATCTAGGCTACCTTTTAAAAGAAAGACTTCAGATCTTTAACTAACAAAAATAAGGGGGCTGCCTGATTATCCAAACAGATTAATCATTTCATGAGCAGTGTAACGTGTTTTCTGCCATATTATAAATCACAAGGGGGGCTGCCTGACTTACAACTCAATTTTTTTCTACGATTAAAACAAGTTGAACTAGATGACTCAAGACAAGCAAAACAGCTAATTTTTCATTAAGAGTCCAAATTTTAAAAGCAGCCTAAAGTAAATCAACAAACAAACCTCACATCCAGGTCGACACCAATCTAGTCATGATAGAGAAGATCATAGTAAAGAAAACAAATCTACATCCATTAAGGGCATCAACATGAAAAGGGATAAACAATAACAAAACACAGTTTCATTAAATTTGTATATCCCTATTACATGTCTCCTTTCAAAAGTATAAAAGAACAAAGGCATCAAAATTTTAAGATTAAAAAAAGGTGTTCCAAGGAAAATTTGAAGTAATCTATTACCAAAAGATATACATATCCAATCACCATTAACCTCAGCAAGATCCCATCATGCAGCACCTTATTTCTTGGATTTCTTAGTTCCTCTACAACACAACAAAAATACAATTACCCTAATCAGTAATAGCATCACATAAATTCAATAGTGAACGACTTAACACAAAGCTTGAGGTTCTTACCGAGCTGATTGAGATGCAGGTGCAGTTACTGGTGCAGCTTCAGATGCAGGAGTTGGTGGGACTCGCTCAATAGGTCCCTGTTAAAATTTGAAACTTTTCAGCATTTAGGATTTGTATTAAAGAAACTAAACAACTTATTACAGCATAATTTTCATTTTTTTCTACAACATAATAAAGGTAACAATGATAACACCAATGTTCAAGATAATAGATATTACTATTAATATAATTTTTGGCACTTGGTTACAAATTCCGAAAAAAAGTGACGTTCATGTGGGGACTTAATGCATGGTAATTAAGTTTCATACCTGAGCCAAACGCTCCTCCCTCCTAGCGTGCTTTCTCTCTCTGCTAGCTTTGTTTTTAATCCGCTTAGCCTCAAACTGGTCAGCAATGGTCTTCTCTCTTGCTTTCTCGGCCTTCAACTTGTGTATGCTCTCCATTAGCACACGCTTGTTCTTGTAAACATTACCCTTGACCTTCATATACATGTCCCTATAAAGGTGCTTGTCAATCTTCTTTGATTCTCTATACTTGCGAAGCAATCGCCTGAGCACACGCATCCTTCTCATCCAGAGGATTTTTGTTGGCAACCTTGCCTCCCTGGTACCCTTGCGTTTACCTATACAGATTTCAAAGATAATGTTAACACTTAACAACTCAACATCTAACCAGCTACTACTATGAAACACTTTCATACATAGTTTACATTTAAACTGTGGTAAACTGCTAATAGTGGAGGTCAAGTGATGGTTTGACCACTCCTTTTCCACTCTCATATCATCATAAACTTTCAAATACTGTAATGAAAACAAAAAAACAAAACAGTTTCTTGGCTCAATATTAAACATGTGTACCATATCCAGAGTGACGACCCTTCCTCTTAGCCTCCTTCATTCGACGAGCACGAGCACGTGAGTGAATGTTGGCTGGTTTGCGAATAATGAAACCATCCTTCACTAGCTTTCTTATGTTTTGCCCTGCAATAAATAAAAATAACTTTCATTTTACAACAGCATTTAAAACACGAAATCCTCAACAACAGCATCTAAGTTGCATCATACTCCAAACATAAACATAATGATTGGGAATCAACAATGTAACAACAACCAAATCACTAAAAAGCATCAAGTCCAAAACATGATTAAAATAATCATAAATCGATTTAAACTTATCCTTCATCATCTCTTACCACACATTCAAATTTTTTATCTAACTCAATAATAGCTCAAAACTTGAATAAGTTTCTCATTTTTTCAATTAAACTATAAACAATTTCATATCACTTCTCTAATCAATCAACTAATAAGTAATATAGATTTAGCTTTCAAGCAAAAAACAGAAATGAAGAAAGATTAGAGGAAAGAAGGAAAACACATACTGGAATTAGCCATTGAGATCTCATTGATTTCATTTGGATCCAACCAAACCTTTTTCCGACCACAATTCAATACCTCGCCACCTAATCGTTTCTGAATCTTTAGAGACACCATTGCCTCTCCCTCCCCTTCTTTTCAACTCTGCTGGTTTCAAGACTAGCGACTAAAACCTTTTCATTTTATAGAATCAATAAATTTGCAAACTAGGGTTTTAACAGTGGCATTCCATTGTAAATGTTTAGAAAATGGAAGGAAATAAAAGTCCATAAAATTTTAGTAGCAAACCCGACCCAAGTGTATGATACAGGCCCAAAGATTACGGTAGTACCAAAGAATTTTATCTGTGTGTCGTAGTTGTATACTTGTATGTGGGCATGTGGGTCAAATCAAAAGATGTCATGTGTCCAAAAAAACTAAAACTTATATATGGGTGCGGTGAACCCTAGTGGGTAAATGGTCATTTCTCACCTAATTTATAACACGTGTCAACTATTAATTGGTCTCACACGCACCACACACTAAAAGAAACACATATTAAATTTTTTGCCGTAGTACCCCATTAAAAACCCACAACCACAACAATTTTGTTTGTTTTTTTTATTGTTAAACACACCAAATGATATCAAAGCAATGGGGTTAATACTTAGAGCGTCTCTAATCTATACTCTATATTAAAGTAGAACCTGCCCTTAACGAAATATTCTCTCTCCTAATTCATAGTCTAATTGAAGAGAATTTTGATTAATTTTTAAGTTAATATGGTTAAATTCGTAATTGCATAGATTCATAAGTGGACCACAACTTGAAACCTATAACTGTAATTTCATATTTAACAAATGGGTTGTAGTCTAAAAGCCCATTATTCATTAAATGAACTGCAATCTTGCCATGCATGGCATGGGCCAAATGGCTAGTGAAGTAGGTAATCTTACAAAGAATTTTATCTGTGTGTCGTAGTTGTGCGTGGGCATGTGGGCCGAATCACAAGATGCCATGTGTCCAAAAAACTAAAACCTATGTATGGGTGCGGTGAACCCTAGTGGCTAAATGGTCATTTCTCACCTAATTTATAACACGTGTCAGCTGTTAATTGGTCCCACACGCACCACATACTAAAAGAAACACAGATTATTTTTTCAAGATGGTGGAATTTAAGCTATTCTCAATTTTCATTTACAAATAATCTAATCTGAAATTGAATCAACACAAAACTAATTACCAGAAAAAAAAGGAATTATAATGCTGGAGGATAAGTAACAAGTGAACGACCACGAGCTTGAGATAACTACAGGTTCTGTTCATCATCAATCGTGTTTACTTTCTTTGCAACAAAGTAAACATAATAGAAACCAACACCAACTTTCCTAATCAAGCACATCAACACCAACTTGCATTGTTTCCATGAATTCTTTTCAAATTGTTCCTAACCTTGAATGGTTCACCATAATTTAAGAACTACAATACATATCGTCCCCAATGCCCAGAGCATGATTTTCATTTTGAACTAAACCCATTTTTATTTTAATTTTCAGTTATGGGTTTAATTCAGAAATTTGTTGATTTTATAGAGGAAAGAATAAAAGTTCTGAATAGAGTTTGATTCAGAAATTTGTTGATTTTATAGAGGAAAGAATCAATAGTATTGATTTCGAAAAAGAAGAAATTTAGAAGTTGAAGTTATTCCTACAGTTCTTGTTAAAGAGATTATTGCAGTCAATGGGGAAGAGAACGAGAATAGAGAAAGAAAGAAAGGCAGGGTTTAGTTTTTAGGGGGTTAAGTATAATAGTAAATCAAGGGGTTAACGCAAAACGTGGACATAATAAGGGGGGTTAAGTCTAAAAATCATGTCCACATAAGACTAAAAACAACTATTTACATGCATATATGCATATGCCAACTCTAATCGATCAGTTTTGTTAATGTGAACCAACTGAGTTAAGCAGGAGAAACTATATAAAATCTGGATCAAAGCGTCAGCAATTCAACATTATGGGAATCAATAACAAGTTTTCCCTTCTTGTTCTTTTTGGTTATATTTGTTTTCATTTCACTGGAAACACACATACCTTTGTAGCAAAACAGGTGACAATTATTTATGGGATTTATTTTCTTTTCTTCAACTACAATGTCTTCGATTCTAATTGTTTTTTTTTTCCTGATAATTAATAATTCCACCGTTTTCATTTATGCGCAGCCATATGCATGGTCCTGAGCCAACATCTGTGGATTATGATCGAGCAGAGGCTAATCATCATAAGTTTCTTGAATATTTCTTAGGAAGGTATATATTTATTCTAGTTACTCTTAATTACTTTACTATAA